CTTGTTTCTTCAGGTTGGACTGCTTGGATGAGAGAATCGTAGTCAAAGCTATGGGGTGTAATTTAGGCTTAAAACAGCTCAAGGCTTGTTATTTAATTTTATTTTTTTTCTAATAATCTTGGGAATTATTATCAGGTTAAAACAGAGGAGGCGAAAGATCAGAATTACTCTTTAATGCCTTTAAAATACTTTAACTAATTACTTTTTAATTATAAGGCACAACATGAACAGTTGTCACTGAATCCTTTATGCCAATAAGGACTGCTACTTTTCAGATTCACATCCAAGAAATCAAAATGTTCTAGGAAGAGAGTCTTTGGTTTTGTGTTTTCAAGATATCCTTACAGTTTCTAAGGAGAATTTACCTGTTACCATGTTCTTCTTCAATTGCACTGGAAAAAAAAAAGTAGTATTATTTATTTAGTATCTCAAAACAATAAAAAATAAATTATATCAATCAAATGATATGGAAAGCTAGTTGAAAGTTGAACCCATCAGTTCTGTAGAAAAGCTAAGTCATTTTAACAGAAGATTATTTCAATACTAGAAGACCTTAGAAATATCTTGAACAAAATCCGTTTACTGAAGAAGCCCCTCTGTAACCTCACATCTGGAGGAATGCTCTAGGCAAGGAGAACTTCAACATGCAAGTAGATGGGCAGAAAAAACAGTTTGTATTGAATTAATCAGCTAATGTTGACAATTCAGTATATATATATGTGTGTGTACAACACTCACCTGCTTTACGAGATTGTGTAAAACTATCTGAAAAAAAATAAGAAACTTTTTAAAATTTTGTACCTTAAAACAAGTTATATATTGATAATATTAAAGTTTCATTTCAAACTTTCTCATTTTATAATGAGATTTTTTTTTCAAAAATCCAGTATTCTAAAAGCTATAATCAGATTCTTTGCCTGTAAATAACTGTGATCATACAAAATGGCATCCCATAGTAACAACATCCCTCTAAAAGATTCTCTGTGCATTCACACACATGCAGTACCTACCCATACTCTACTTTTAACTATACATCTGTTATTTTTTTCTCTCCCTCTCAATCCCATGTGTTTCTTTCTGAATCTGATGTCAAAATATTATTTAAGTTTTCATTATTATGTTTTGCATTGTAGATGAAAACTTCTGTATCAACTGCTGTTGGTGGAAATACTTACTGTGTAGTTTAAAACCTATAGCAGCAGTAACAGCAATATTAAGAAATAAAATTACAAGGAAGGCTGTCATCCAAGGTGCAGAGGAAGGAAAGAAGACATCTGTAAAATATAAAGGGTGTTATTTTCACTGAATGTTTGTGCAAAAATATGACAGGCTCCAGTGGCCAAAGCATATGTGTCTAGTGCCATTTTATTTGCTGTAATGTGCCCTTTACACTCTCCTCCTGCAGGTCTACACAACCCAAAAACATTTATTTACCAAAATTTTAGTCAAGCACTGGAACAGGCAGCCCAGGGAAGTGGTGGACTCATCATCCCTGGTAGTGGTAAAAAAAACATATACATGTGGCACTTTGGGACATGGTTTAGTGGGCCTGGTGGTATTGGGTTGATGGTTGGACTTGAGATCTTAGAGGTCTTTTCCAACCTTAATGATTCTATAATTGAGGGAGATGTGTTAAGCAGCCCATCTCTGAGGCCAGTATTTGCCCAGTTGAAACAAGATGAAGTTTTCGGCAAAGCACAACCATCTTCAGACGTCAAAAAAGAGATCTCCCTCTTCTTCTTTTGAAATAAAATTGCCCACTTTCCAGACTAGGAATCCATCCAGAGGAGGCACATGCTGAAGCTAGGAGTAATCATGGTGGTGTGAGGGAGAGAGGAAGGGATGGGAGCAGATATTCCGCATTGCTTATTGGCATACTCCGGCTGTCTCAGGTCATTGTGTTTGCTCTCTGGACAACATTGTGGGACCTTTGTACTGCCCACTGGCATAATTCCCTCTCCAAACTGGCACAGTGCTCTCAACTGGTGACCAGTGAGATCTCCACATTAGTATTTGTAGCTAAAATGTATCTTGAATGTAACAAGTAATCCAAGACATACATAAGGATGGACTTCTTGTCATGTTATCCACTTAAACACTAGCTTGTGCTTGGGCTGAGTGTCCAGGATCACTCCAGGGTCAATAGAGACAACAGGCAGCAGCCAGCCAACCGGTCCTAACAGAGATTGATCGTGGAGATTACTCACCTGAAATCAGGACTCGGGATTCACACCTGGCATTAAGTAGGTTATTGACTACTCTGCAGGAGACTTCCTTGTCAGATCCCAGTTCAAGATTCATGGAACTTATAACATCAAAAATGCCTGAAGAAGTCCTTATGACTTGGGTGGTAACTTCCTCCTTCCGTGTCTGTCCTTTGCTGTTCAGCCAAACTACTTTGGGCTCTGGAAACCACCCCTGAGACTTACAGGTGAGGCTGATGCCCTGGCCCACAGGACCATCCAGGGAAACTGAAGACTCATCACCTTTAGCTATAGAACCAAACACAAGCAAGATTCAAAAACCAGTAGGCAAGATATTCTCTCACCAAACAGTACTTGGTGGGAAGGTCTTCCTCTGATTATCTATAACACAGTGTGCAAATTCACCAGATTTTAAATTCTAGTTTTCATTAAATTGCTGGTAAATAGCTCTTTCTGTGTTACATTAAAATGGGACATTTGTACGTAGCTTCACTTTCACAGTCCTGATAGAAACAGATCTTTGGACTGATTTTTGTTATTTGAATGAACAACTTGAATTAAAATAATGTAACATTGCACTGGCTGGAAATTTGACTGTTATGGTTTAAGGGTTAACAGCCTGAAAGGGAAGGACTGGTGATGTCTGTAGGACCATGGGGGGTCAGAGATCAGTACTGTTCCCTCCCCTTTCCAGCCACAGTCTATAAAAATATGAGGAGGCCCAAGGTTTTCATGGGCTTTTCCTGGCTTCCTGGGCTGCTTCGTGTCACATCTTGGGACAGCTGGGGCTACCCCCACGTGCTCGACAGCATCCACCACCATCTGCTCCCCAGCACCACTGTGGTCCCTTGTGACGAGTCACAGTGGCCATGAGGCACTGCTTGGACACTTCCACTTGGGACTGCTGGGATCGGGTTTTGTATATAAGTAACTATCCTTTGTCCCTTATTAATTCCCTTTTCCTTTCCCCTGTTGTTTTTCATTAAACTCGTTATAGTCTTAACTTCCAACCTTGTGTGAAGCATCTTCTCTCTATTTCCTTTTTTTTAATCCTTCCCTGGGAGGGTAGGGGACAATAGAGAGAAAATCTTGCTCCCAGGGCTTGCCCTGAGCCTTAAATGGAGATACTGACCATAGAACAAAGTTGGATGACACCATGAATAGATGAAAATTGGAATCCTGAACAGAAAATGAGATGATGTGTAGGGCAAGAGCATGAGAAGTGGGTTGCAGTACCAAATGCAGTTTCAGTCAGGTTTTATTCACTTCTGCAACAACAGGCTTATTTTACCAGAGGATTCATCTCTCTCCTACCTTTAAATGTTTTAAGCTAACATGGTACCTACATTCCCTCTGTAAGAGATGGCAAAAATACATCTATGACTATTCTGAGTCTGCTAGCAACAGAGGTAGCCTAAGCTATAGCAGAGGCTAGTCTTTCATATGGCTAAGAGTTAGTGAGAGGAATTAAACCTATTGGTACCCCATAGACCATTCTGAAGTTGTACAACTGGACTGAGGAAGAAGTAGTAAGTGCCTGCCATTCCACTCACCTGCCACATCCAGGTCAACCACCACTTCATCATACCAGTTCTCAAAAAAGACACTGCAGGTGTATTTCCCTTTGTCTGAGAGCATGACATTTTTCAGGTGAAGGGACACATTTCCCTTAATAAATTCAAAGTGAAAAAAACTTGTCCTGCCCTGGTATGTATTGTCCTCGTGAACTGGATTATGTGTGTTTTTTCCATCAAAAGTGGTCACATCAATTTTTTTGGTGTTTCCAGTAAATATCCACTGAACAGTAAGTCTCTCAGGGATTATCTTAACTTTCAGCTGACAAGGCAGGATGACTTCTTTCCCAACAACTCCAATGACAGGCTTGTCAGGAGGAATAATTTTATACTGGCCTGCAAGAAAATAAAGACATAAATCTCACCTGTTATAGAATCATAGAAGAATTTGGGTTAGAAAAGACCTTTAAAGGTCATCTAGTCCAACCACCCTGCAATGAGCAGGCACATCTTCAACCGGATCAGGTTACTCAGAGCCTCATCCAACATGATCATGAATGTTTCCAGGGATGGGGCATTTATCACTTATCTGGGAAACTTGTGCCAGTGTTTCACCACCATCATAATAAAAAATGTCTTCCTTTTATCTAGTCAGAATCAACTCTTTTATAGTTCAAAACCATTACCCCTTGTCCTATTGAAACAGGCCTTACTAAAAAATTTGTCCCCATTTTTCTTACAAGCCCCCTTTAAGTATTGAAAGGCCACAATAAGGTCTCCCCAGACCCTTCTTTTCTCCAGGCTGGACAACCCTAGCTCTCTCTACCTTTCCTCACATGAGAAGTGTTGCATTCCTCTAATGATGTTGTTGTCTTCCTCCAGACACCCTCCAACAGGTCCATGTCTTTCCTGTATGGAGGACTCCAGAGCTGGACTCTTGATATATCCACTAGCTCTGGAAATTAGATATCTGTTTAAATCAAATTGTGATTAGAATCAAACCAAGATTTACCTGTGACCAAATGAATCGTCTGTAGGAAAATAATGATGTGAAGAGGTGTTGCCTGCTGATATCTGGAACCCATTGTGCTGCAGTATTGTAAGACATCAATAAACAAAACTTCTGGGGCAAATCTTACCAGATTCTTGTAATCTTTTCAAACAGAGAACAAAAAATGGGAAGAGTGAATCAAACTAGAACTGGATGTTTCTTTATAAGGAGTATATGGAGTATAAGTACTGTATGTGAAGGAAAAATCCTCACCTTTGAGTGAAATCAGGAAAATGACAGTATAAGCTGCTTTTAACAGAAGTGAATCAACTAAGCTGTGATTCTAAGAGTTATGCTTGGCCACCAGAGAAAAGAGAGGTATTTTTGAGAGACTTAGAAGGACACTATATTGAATCTTAAGGGCTCTTCACAGGCCTGGTTCCAAAGTTTCCATGACATAGTGTTCAGGAAACTTCTAGCCAGGATAGCAACATTTTTCTAGATGACACGAGGCTGAATCTAAACCCAGTTGGATGTGTCATCTTCAGGCAGGTGAGAGCATGAGGCAGACAGAAGTTTTTAAAAAGCTCAAGTCATTTCCATGTCCTACATGTAGTAGACAGCATCTACTGTGCACTGAGTATGTTGCTTCTCTTACTCATACTTGCTTGGTTAAAACTTCTGTTGTTAGTTGGAGGAAGAAGCTAGGATTTCTAGAAAGGATCTTCAAAAATTCCAGAAGAAAAAAAAATATTTTTACATCATTGCTGTTTTGAATAAAATGCTTACACAGCTCTAACATGAGCAGATGCTCATGCCATTTGAAACCATGGATTAAACTTGGGAAATTCCTGACCTAAGTAACACCCATTGGCTGTCAAGTGATTATTCCAGGTCAGGAAAAGCAGAAGTCGGTGGAATTCACCTGCTGTATATGAGTTAAATAAGTATGTTTGCATACTTAGAAATATATAGGAAAGATGAAGCAACCTATCAATTGCTGTGAAGAAAGTCAGAGGATACACTGGCGTGGAGAGTCTAGGGGTGTAAATTTAGGTACACAGAATCTCATCTAATGTTTCAATAGGTTTTTTAGTATAAAATGTAAGTACTTTCCTCCACCCAGATCTTTTCATGGCATTTCTGAAAAAAATTAGACCAACCTTAACTACTCATATCACTAAACTCAATGGGACTTGCTTCCTTAGAGCCCAGAAGCATTTCTGTCCATATGCAAGGTCTGTAGAACAAGCTCGGTGCTCACTCCCTTGTGAAGGCTAAGCCATGTGCACCTTTGCTTTCCTAATAAAGGAGAAGCACAAAGAAGTCAAGACTCACAAAGTAAGCGAGGGATTGCGACTGTAAAATGCCAAGCTCATTGCTGTAATCTGCACTCATTCACTGCTATTCCTGTTGAAAAATTAACTACTCACCTGAATGCAAAGTGAGTTTTTCCAAGATCTTGAGTGAATGAAGGAAGAATAAAAAACATTAAGAACTGCAGCAAAGCTACAGAGCCTTGTCTGTCCAGTTTTTGATATGTTTCTGTTTTACACTCCTCCAAATAAAGATAAAGGCTCTCAGACACAGGTCAAAAAATATTTTTTTAAAAAAGAAAGACAAAAAATAAATGCCACAGATTTGTGTCACACACTTGCTGGAAGATATAGCAAACATTGCTTCCACATGCATGAATATAAAAATCTTTATCATTTATATTGATTATCTGCAGAATAAATTTATACCGGAGTTATACTTCACTAATTAAGATTGTCTGTGTAGTGGTGTATCTAATAAATCACATTTATATACATCTACCAGACAAAGACATGGCAAGCATATATTTCTGACATCAAATGAGCAAATAAATTTGCTTTCATAAGTGGAAATACGTTTCAGAATCAGCACATTGCAGTCCTCAAACCAACCCCATTCACAACAACCATTTCAGCAACCTGTGTCTTTTGAGCAACCTAGCAAAGAACAGCATTTCAGTGATTAATCTCTTTCATAAAGGTTGCTAGCAGGTAGCATCTGATTCAAAATCATACCCACAGATCAGATTTAGGCATCATCCACTCTTAAGGAAGCAGACTATTTTATTCATCACATTAAGGCATTAAATAAAAAGAAAATGCAAAGATCTTTAACAAGGTCATTAAAATGGCGCCCACAAATGACAGTAATGTACTTCCACTGATCCAGGAAAGATAGAAGCCTTTTTAATTCCAAACTGGAATCATTCCCTGAGGGCAAACCGCCAGCTCACTGTTGATATAAACTTATTCAAAAACCTAATCATGCACAATTCTGCTTCAGTCAGACATTAATTCCTTACCTGAATAACGAGATTCAAAGTGTCCATTTTAAATTCAGCACAGATTATGGAGGTGAGGATCCTTTGGCTCATATTACCAGAATGTAAGTACTTTCCTTATCCATATCTACAGAGGGAACAGACTTCTCTAATTTCCGCACTGAAGATTACAAGTATTAAAAATGGAACTTTCACCACAAGCAATTATTTGCCCTTGGGTGCAATATTCCAGCCAACACCTGCAGAGACCAACAAACTATAGTAGGAGATACAGAAAGGTTTTATTTGCCTACACACCTAGATCCAAAGTACAGAATCCATGTTTCAAATCTTGTTTCTCCTGTGCAGTGCCATAATTTTCTAGTATGACTTGCCAACAATTAAATAAAACTGAGAAAACAGCATGAATGGCAGGTAGAGAAACCAAAATGGGTTGTTGCATGAGCCCGTTACCCACTGGGATAATTTGAAATTAGAAGGATGACTATACAAGACAGAGACCATGGAGGGAACCATAGAAATTTAGGAATTGTTCAAGACATCAATTACACCAGCTTTATTTATGTGCTAGAGAGGAAGAGGAAGTTAAGATCTGTAGTGAGCAGGAAAATAACTTGATTTACAAGACTAAGGAACATCTAAATGCGGCTCAATTCCCCTTCTCTTAAAAGTGGGATGGATTCTGCATACAAAGGTGTTGCAGGCATGGGGCCACACCTAGATTTAAAACTCTCAGGTTTTTTATGGACACCAGGTATGTTCGATATTGTAGAGCTGCCTGTTCCTCCTTTGACTGTAGAGGGCAAATAAACATCCAGCTGAGACCCAAACCTTGTCTTCAAACAGCAGAGGTCACAGCAGCTTAACTGCTCCCGGGAAACCCAGGACTGTGATTTTTTTTTTTAATCAAATGTGATGATTTACCATATGGTGAAAGGAATAATGACCCAAACCACACTCTCTCATCATCTCAGGAAAAAGAAGTGTTTGTTTCACAGAGAGTTTGTATTTGAAAAATGCAGTTACCTCTCTACACCAATGTGGCATTGAAGACTACCCTGATAAATTAATAGAAAGCTAAATCAGTCTCTTGACACATGAAGGTGGGCTCCTGTTGTCAAATTCCTGTCCAAAAGTTGGAGGTTTATGATTATTAGCATTTGTTCCCTCACACACTGCATTCTGAAAAATACACCACAATCAGTTTTGAAGTTGCATGTACATAATCTCTAAGCAACAGAGAGATGGGAACTTAGAAAGAGCTATTGCTTTCACTGGATAAATTGTAAAAAGAGCTGCAAATGCTAACTTCTTTTCCTAAAGAATACCTCCTCTGCTCCAAAAAAGAAAGTACTGCTTTACTGCCTTGTTAACCAAAGGGCTTGGTTATTTGCTAATTACGCCCATATTGTGCAGTCACAGTTCTCTTACCAAACCAGCCAGCTCACATTTTCAGAGGCACTGCTAGACTAGGCTCTTATTAGATAATACCGAAATAGCAGTACATTATCTCTGCCAGGCAGCTGCTGCTGAATAACATTAAAATCTTATCAGGAAGTTACATGTTAGGCAGAAAAGACCTGCTGTCAGTACTTCTCCCTGCTAAGGCCATCTTGGTTTGTTTGCAAATTTTTAGACTCCTTTTCTAAAAATTTATAATGGCAATAGAGAGTGCAGTAGAAACATTAGAGTTAGAAATAAAACAGTTAATTGTCTCAAAATCCATACTGACATTATATTGAAGCATTTACATTAGTGTAGTTTCAACTTGTTCTCTGCTATTCAGCTAAACAAAATCTAGCCAAGATCCCAGACATTCACATTTTAGGTCTTTATGAAGTATTGTTTGTTTGTTTGTTTATTTTCTGATCAACAAACAAAGTGACTTAAAGATTTCTGTTCAACAGGATTGCTTTCATATATCACATTACTCATAATGTGAGTCATGTGTTTCAGGAATAATTTTTCAGACCTAAAGTACTTCTGCCTTAATTTCTTCAAAACTGAATTAAATTCAGCAGAATCAAGAAGTTCCACCTGAAAGATATACATACTTTGGTCTGGGTCATTAAAAATCTCCCAGGCAGAATATTGCATTCCTGGGCATGGGCAGCACCATCCAAACCTAGATAATACTATGAGTTCAATTGAAAAATTCATTCCTAACCACTGTGGTGATCTCAGACAACCCTTCCTCCACCTGCATCCCTAAGGAAGTTAATTTGTGCTTTATGTGTGCTTATTTTCTAGATGTGGTCATCACTGATGAGGCTGCAAGATGGACCTGCGAAATTCACCTCATCAATAACAAGTCCACCTAGGAAATCTTAAGATTCATAAGACAAAGCATGACTTTTTGCATTCTTGATGTCATTGTAGGCTCCATCATTCAGCAGGCTCATTTTCAAGCAGTCTTCTTGGTTTCTTCAGTTTTCTCTCTGGAAAGACCATCTAGCAAAACTGTTTCATGCTCCTTAAAAAGTCTCCTTTGTTATGTGGTTGTAGGATTTAACACAAATGTACCAGTACCAGATGTTCTAGTGTAAAGAAAAAAAATAATTCTTTAGTTATCTTGGAGCATGTTTGGGAGTGGGCTCAACTGAGTATTGCGCAAAACCCAACCTTGAGTGATGGGGATGTTCTTTCTCTTTGTAACAAACATGTCAGTAGAAGTTCCTAAGAGGTTTTGTTTTTATTTTATTTTATTTTATT